AAAGTTAGCAACAAAGGATTAAGGAATTACCATTTTGTTATAGACAGACAATAAAAAAAACAAATGGGACTCTAAATTAAATGTGTGTTTTCTCCTAAAACTAAACACATAATAACATGATAAGACACCATTAGAAAATATAACTGGAGAAATAAATAATTTTTTTTTGGCCGAAACGATAGAAAATCTTATATTCACAACAAAGTCGAGACTAGATATCAACTACTCAGACGATAGCCTAGAGTTGACCTACAACACAAAACACAATAAACAACAAGACACTCCACCAGGAGAATAAACACACAAAAGCTCCCTTCCAACAGGAGAATACACAAAACACACTCTCAACGGGAGAGAAGCCATATTACTTATGTGGCATTTTGACATTTTAAAAAATATACAATGGCATTGAAAATGTTCTTATTAGCTTACGGAACAGTCCACAAGCAATCTACTGTTACAATGCAGTTCATATAGTAACTTGAAAAAATCCACTATATTTGAAAAGGAAAAGAGTAACTTATTTACAAGCACGGCCTTGAAGTTCTCCCCTGCATCCTTCCATCGCCCGAAGACTAAGCTAAAACACATGAATCAGGAGAAATGTAACCTAAGGAAACAGATGAAAATGAAATGAAATGAAGACGAAAATTACTGTAGATCGATGGCTATGGGGCGAAAAATTTACAGACCTTTTTTAACTGTCGGGGTCAGGAAAGCGCAGAAAACGGTGGTTCGCCTTATTAAAGCTACAAATTGAACCATTCATCGGCAAAAATCATACATTTTTCTCTTTTCAAGACAAATCAAAAGATCCTTGTCCTTCGCTAATGGCGTAAAGCAGTTTCTTGTACATAATTTCCTACAAGAACAGCACTCACAATAAATATCGAGAAAAAAAAAATAAAAATAAAAATAAAAAACCAAAAACGAAAATGTGACCACCAAAGAAAAAAAATAAAATACACTTATAATAGGCACAGTTATCACCCTTTATGATTTATATAATTAGGAACATATCACTTGGGATTTGTATTTTTTACTATTTATTTTTCCGTCCGAATCCAACCAATCCAACCATGTCATCACACTTGGGATTTTTTTTTACCTTAGATGAATATGGTGGAAGCTTCAAATAATTGGCACATGTCATCACACTAGGCAAATCATCGTCAGCAGATTCAGATGGACCCGTACCGTTACTTGCTGTGCTTGTTGTGTTTGCAGAAAGCTGTTGCAATTTTATTTTATTAAAAAAACAAAAGAAAGAAAATGTGCACATTAGCAAAAATACATAATTTTGTGCCAAAACTTAACAATGGATGAGACTCTATTAACAGTTTAACACCACCTTTCTAACAATAGTCAACTTGGGATTGAGCAAGGCCAAACCACCCGGTGGAAGCCGAGGAGCACCGGTCACAAATTGACAGAATGCACGTTGCTGCTCGGGAGTGAACTCACCCATAATCTCAAGAAGCTGCTTAAGCGATAAATTAAGCCATATAAATCAACTTTTAAAAAAATAATTACAGCTTTTATTAAACTTTATTCTAACGTGCATAATGGATAAACATACATTGACAATAGCAGGGCTCTTGGAAGTATATCCATGATCGAATTTAATGTGATCTGCCAGGGACTCCGCCTACAAAACGACAAAAAAAAAAAGGTTAAAACTCGAAGCTTGCATGATCTGAAGTGATTTGTGAAGTCTAACAAAACGGACCGTTACCTTCCATAACTCTCGACGGCCACCCAGCAGATAATCCAACTCATTAGGTGAAAATATTTGTAGACTTGCAATGTCAAACACCTAAGAAGAATAAATCCTTGGAATTAGTCAATAATCGAGAGCATGTATATGAAGGCAGTGGAGATCAATTGAAAATCTAATATATCAGCTGATCACATAAGAAATTCCTTATGTGAACCACAAATAACAGGAAGTAACAGTGCTAGTAAATGATTAATTCTGGCTAAACTGGTCAAGATGAAGTCATTTAGTGAACTTTAGCTTGAAATGGCAAAATTTTAAAAAACACGACATGCAT